TTATGCTATTATTGTTGAACTGTTATATTTAAACTGTGATACCGAAGTGAGCTTGGGGTGGAGGAACTCTTCGAGAACCCTTGCTTACTGAGATTTCTGTTTAGAGATCTCATCCCGTGTGTGGCACATTTTCAGGTACAGATGTCCATGAGATGGATGCTTCCCGAGGCAAGAGGCCGGAGTAGAGTTTATTTGAGATGCATGTTTTATTCAGATTATTATGGATATGATTATTGTACTGTGACATGATTATTATGGTGTTATGTTTTTACCAGACTATATGTTTTATTTGTTTGTGAGCATGAGGGTTGTCCATGCCTTATTTGATATTGGTTATATTGTTGGACATGTATGTTTTGTTTATGCCATGAGATATGGACGTTGGTCATGACTACGCGATGTAGCTTCATGACTTAGTATTTATTTATGATATTGAGACATTTTAAGATTTTATTTGTGGTTTTGCAATTACATAAGGATATAGATGGATTTTATATTGATATGTTAATAAGGAAAAAATGATCTTGCATGTCTTATAACTTAATTTAATTTAGCTTCTGCATTTAATTGAGTTGCGCTTAATACCGTAATATGATAACAAATCCGGATGCATATGGGGTGTTACAGAGTATACGTACTTGCCTTGGCAAGTGGGCTTATGTAGAGCTCTCTAAGGTAAGCTCTTTGTTTAGGATGTTCTTCTTCTCTTGTGGCTCCACCATGATGGTGGGCATTATGGTTGAATTGTATGAAAGTATGAGATATGTTGTATATGAGCATTCATTCACATTCATATAGATATTATATGATTCTTGATATTATGATGCACTGATGATTATGTTACAATGATCCTGGCCAATAATGGGTATGTAGGCTTCTTGGGTCATTCCCTTGAAGTTATTTCATACTTTACAAATATTTATGTGTAGACTGCCTTTGGGCTGGACCCTTTGGAGTTATTGCACACTAGGATGTTTGACATGTCAGGATGTTTATGATGAGATATGATGTTATATATGCTTTATATTTGACTTGTCATGCAGGAAGTGGGCTCAGGGGAATAGAGGATTTTCTATAAACTTTGAGCTTACTGAAATTGTTGTTATCTCACCCCTTCTTAGGGACATCATTTCAGGTACCTATCATAGTGGTGAGCCCTCCATGGGCAAGGACCAGACACGTGGTTAGGGGATTGCCAGTTGGATATTTTTTTGATAGCAAGTATAGTGTTTTAATATGCTAGAGTTATGTTATTTTGAGACTATGTTTAATTGTGTAATAATGTTCATAATTTGTATTTGATGAGCTTATGCGAGAATTATGTATTTGCTATGGATTTATTTAGATGTATGTGATGATGACATGAATATGATGCACTTTATGTTTTGAGTTTTGGGCATGGAGCCTTTATATATGTATTGACCTATTTAGGGGGACATAGTCTGTGTGGACTTGGGAGGTGACTGGTGTAAGAACCCGCACCGTTAATTAAGGTATTTAATTAATTAATTATGCAAAAATAAGAAATGATTCCATAATTGACCTTGATAATTATTTATGAGGCTTAATAATCATAATGAGTGATTAAGAATGCTGAAAGTCATTTTTCGGAAGAAAAGTGCAGATACCGGTTCTGCTAGTCGGTATAAATGTGTACCGAAAAAGTATCTCGGAAAATTAAAGTAAGTACATGATAATTACTAGAATAACATGTAGGACTTGTAAAACGAGTTTCAAGTCCAAATAATGAGAACTGGTGCTAGAAACCGGTACAGGCTTTGAAAAGAGCGTACCGGAAAGGTGCTCAGAAAAATATAAGAAAAATATGATAATTCTTAGAAAATTATGTAGTTTCAGAATCCAAAGTTTGGGATTAAAATGCTAAGCTTAGAAATTAAAGTTAATACTGTACGTTTAAGTGTGTTTGGGCTATAAATACTCATTTAAGGGCTCACAACCCTAGATAACAGAAAACCAGTGTGAGTTTCTCTTTGGTGGCTGACCTCCTATACTGTTTCATTGCCATCTACTCCATTTTGAGACTTTGTGATCATTTTATGCTTGTTTCTTCTTAAAACCTTCTTCCTAAACACTTGTTCTTGTTTGAGTGAGCCTTGGGAGGTTGGAAGACACCATTTTTCTGAGTGATCAGCCACTGTTCTTGTTTGTTTGGGGGCTGACCTTGGTGGTTGGGTTGAAAGAAGTCTTGTCTTGGGTTTTTGGTGGTCCAAGTGTTGATCTTTGGTGCTAAAGGGTCAACCTTTCTTACCATTTTCGTGCACTATATTTCCAGTAGCTGTTGAAGTTGTTTTGGGAGCTTCTTGAGCAGTTGAACCTCTGTTTTGGCCTTTGGTATGTATACCAACCTTTGATCTTGAGTTTTAAGGCTTAAAAATGGTAGCTTGATGCATGTTAAGGTTAAAAGATGATAACTTGTTGTTGGGTGAGGCTTAACACATCTAGAAATGCATGATTAGGTGTATAAAATCGGTAAAAAGGGAACCTTTTTGGGATATCTTCACGAAAATGCAGAAACTGCATTCTGTCGTGAGATATCCGGATATCTGTCGAACTGATATCCGGATATTGGATATCCGGATACGTGGTTTTGGGATATCCGGATATTGGATATCCGGATATGTGAATCTGTATATCCGGATATTGCATATCCGGATATGGACAATGAGATATCCGGATATCCTGAATTTTCGCAGAACAACAGCTGTGTTGTGTGTGCAGTAGGCTATTGGGAGTTTGTGGACCCTAGTTTGATGAAGTTGAACTCCTGTATTTGATGGATTAAGCCAGAATCATGGATTAAGGGCTTGTGGCTTTGTTAGAAGCTTTAAGACTTGAAAACGTAATGAAAAGGCGTTGTCTTTAATTTGTATGCATGTGGTACATGTTATTGATTTATGTTTGGTCCATATCAGATTGTGATCTGCTGTGATTGGACTTTGAGCTTGTGGCATTGGATAGCTAGCTTAGAGGTAAGCTTTCGTGTCCTCGGTTTAGCCATGTTGTGGTTCCACCATGTCCCATGGGGATATGGTATATGCATGTTGTGTTACATGCTTTTGATGTTTTGGAAATGCTGTTGAGCTATTATATGTTAGTGCCTTGTTGATATGCATGGAGGTGTTCCACCTATACGGTAAGCCTGAGTATGTAGAACATACAAGAGGGTGAGGCTGTGGGTGAGGTGCAAGCGGTGTTCCTTGTACTACATGTAGGGAATAGACGTATTCCTACATGTCTCTGGCCAGTAGATAGTGATTACACACATGCCATAGATATCTGTTGCACTACATAGTTTTGGAACTGATAATGATATAAATGCTTTTTGAACTTATATTGCACATGTAAGTGAGCTTGGGGTGGAAGATCCTTGAGGACCCCTTGTCTTACTGAGATTTCTAGTTTAGAGATCTCACCCCACGTTTGGGGAATGCTTATTTCAGGGTCAGGTAATGTTGAGACCTCAGGCGGCAGGAGGCCGGAGTTGAGTTAGATTGCTGTTATGTTATGCTGCCTTGATTGGATGCTGGATTTGCATGCTGCTTTTATGCTTATAGCTTCAGTTTATGTTTTGAAGTTTTATGTTGAGACTTGTTGTTTACTATGTTTATTTGGTGAGCATGGGGATTGTCCATGACACATAGTATTTTTATGTCTTGATTATGTCTTGAGTCTTTTGGAGTTGTAATAATGTATCAGGATATTTGTCCGGATTACTTGATGTAATGTCGTGATTTAGAAACACACTTTATCTATATATTGAGGTATTTCCGTAGATGTCGTATTGCAATTTACATACAGGCATTATTTTATGAAATTGATTAAGTAATCAAGTTGGTAATTGATAATGACGTCATAATTGAAAAGAAAAAGAATATTCCACAATTTTTATTAAGCACCGCTTAATACAATGTAATGTTAATATTCCGGGTATACACGGGGTGTTACAACTGGTTATATAAACTGTGTGTATTAGGTTTATGTTATTGAGTGAGATTTTTATCTCCCCGATATCCGTTAAATAGCCATTATACTATCAATGAGACTCTAGCAGGAATAACACTTGTTGTCATATCCGATTAGTCAAAGGCCACTAATAATCGCTAATGGAATTAGTTGGTAGATGTATAATTTAAAATTACGTTTATACAATATCTCATGTGAACTCTTTTGGAAATATTTTTTGAAAATATTTTGAAAAAAGTTAAATCATATTTTTATAAGACGATTTCGCATTTAATAAAATAAAATCTTACGCTGTGTACGCTATAATATTATGTATGTTATCAACCGGAGTACTGCGGGGTGTTACATTTGATGATAGATTTATCAAGTTAAAAAAGTAACTTTAACTATATACATATATATTATGAATTGAGTTATTATTATTAAATATATCATTATAATAATTAGGCTTGTCAGACTATTTGATGATAATCGGTGTGATCAGCAATGACTCAAAATTGGGTTATAAAAATAATGCTCACTACAATTAGGTTTCTGAATTTATATATTCGATCGAATACGTTTTTAAGTCAAACTTAAATCAAATTTAAGTTATTTTAACATAGTCGAATATCATACAATAATTTAAAATTTAAAATTATTTTGATAATTAGTAATTAAAGATAAAAATTTTGAACTTATATTAACATCGATATATTATTTCTATTAATATAAATTGTTTCCTTAATTTTTCTTCTTAATGTTTTAAGTTTTATAGTTTAATTATATATAATATTCAAATGCATATATTTTATTAAAATTTCAAGTCAATCCGATACAAACTTATTAAGACTCGATCAAATTGGGTCTGAATCTACAAAAGCTTACCCTATCAAAATTTGATGTCAGGTTTGGATTACATTAAATTTGTCCCACACGCGCCATCAACACCTTTGTACCAAAGTTCTATATATATTTCCCAATAACCTGAAACGGTATTCAAAACTTGGGGGAAAAATCAATAAACAGCATAATCAATGGGTTCTGAAGGACAGCTCAACCTTCCTGTTCTAGATTTCTCAAAGAAAGATTTGAAGCCAGGGACCAATACCTGGTTATCAACATGCACAAGTGTGCGCCAAGCATTTGAAGAGTATGGCTGCTTCATAGTTTTGTATGATAAAGCTTCTGATAAGCTTCAAAATGGTGTATTCGGTTCACTGAAGGAGCTGTTCAATCTCCCAACAGAAACCAAACTGAAGAACACATATGAGGGCAAGCCCTTGAAAGGCTACGTTGGACAGCACCCCAAGATTCCACTCCATGAAAGCATGGGCATAGATGAGGGAGCAACACTTGAGGGGATTCAAAGTTTCGCTGAAAAATTATGGCCTAACGGAAATGATCAATTCTGGTACCTACCAAGATAAGCTTTTTATTTTCTTCTCTTCTCTTTTCTTCTGGATTCATTCTTTAACATGATCAAATATTCATGACTTTATAATTAAAATAACAACTTGTTATCGCCCTCTTTGTCACGAATTAATTAACTCTTCTAATATGCCCCGAGAATTATTTGGACTTTGGTAAACAATACTTATGCCCGGACCCACATACCTTTTACTACGAATTACACAGATTTGCAATAGCGGACCTAGAATTTTTTTTTAATGTCTGCACATTTAAAATAAAAGAATAAAGAAAAAAAATTTAAAGAAAAATTTAAATATATTAAAATACAAAAGAATTTATATAAAAAAACTTTAACTTAATATAAAAAAAGTAATCAAGAATCAACTAAACTGTTACAATAGAACATTTTGGGTCCTCAATAAAAATTATGGGCCTCAATTTAATCTCTTAGAGGAAAAAAAGTCTACTCGTGATCCCTCAAAATTCAAAAATAGACCCAGATAATCAAAATCATGGTCCTCTGAAATTCAAAGGACGAACATGAGTCTATTTTAGATTTTAAAGTGATCACGAGTCGACTTTTTTTTAAGAGATTAAATTGGATCTTGTGATTTTTGTTCATGACTCAAAATATATTTTATTTTATTTTTTTCCAAAAAATTTATGTGTACACTTGCACACACTAAAACATACACAGGTCCGCCACTGCTGATTAGGGTGATAGAGACGATGAGACTGAAGATTGATGAGAAAATTGTGGGCCGTTTATTATGTCGAATTGATCTCACAGTAATCAAATTGGTTATATATATCACCTAACCTGTGAAAAGAAATTTTATAATATTTATTAGAATATTAGGGGTGGTAAAAATTGAATTCTATACTACTTGATCATAGAGACTTTGATACCATATTATGAATCAACTTTTCTAAAAACTTAAGCTGTGTGCAAAGAAATTTTATAATATTTATTAGAATATTAGGGGTGGCAAAAATTGAATTCTATACTACTTGATCATAAAGACTTTGATACCATATCATGAATCAAATTTTCTAAAAACTTAAACTGTTAGATGAAGATATATGAATAGTTTTATATTATATTTCTAATACTGTTTTTTTTGTGCTGGATTTATGTAGTAAATATTTGTTTGAGTATGCAAAGCTAGCAGAAGAATTGGATCGGATGGTGGCCAGAATGATATTTGAAAGCTATGGTCTGGTGGAGCACTATGACGCATACATAGGATCAACAAGTTATCTCCTCCGACTTTTGGCACACAAAGCACCGGAACAGGTTGAACCTCAACTGGGTTTTGTGTCTCACACTGACAAGAGCTTCACAACAATTCTTCACCAGAATCATGTCAACGCACTCATGGTGGAGACAAAGGATGGTAATTGGATTGATGTCGATTACTCTTCACCTACTTCCTTTGTCGTCATGGCTGGCGATGCACTCATGGTAATAATTGAATTCCACAAATTTGAAGATTAATATTTGGGATATGCATATATGATCTATTTTTGACTTGCTCTTATACCTAAGCTCGAGTTTTATAACAACAAATTTAAGTGAAAGCAAGCAACTTACACCATAAGGGGCTTATCATAAGTTATTTTCACTTTTATTTTTTATTTTTTTTGGTTTCTTACCAGTCCAATAGAAATTCAATTAGTCTGATGTGAGCATTGCCGGACTCATATAAGGAGTGGCTCTCCCAAGACAATTTTATTATTCCTGTACTCAAACTCAAAACTTGTAACAAAAGTTGTTTTCATTTTTTTGATTATTATTCATCCGTTCATCGATTAGTCCGATTCGAGACAAGTAGGATCACATGAATGACAAAGCTCTCTCTACAAAGTTATTTTCATTTATGATTGGCTGAAGACTGAATTGTTTATTTAAAATATATGCACTTGTTATATAAGTACTTATTTTAACCAAATTTATTTCCATATAGTTTAAGTTACAATCTCTGTAATTGATAATTGAAAAAAATACCGAAATATCATTCACTAAAAAAACAATGAGAACGCAAGAGTTTATTGCTTTTACAAAATATATATTTCATTAATTTTGCTTGCTAGAGACTAGAGAAAGAGGAAATTTTTTATATGTTTTGATATATATCCGTGATAAGTTGGTTCTCTTGTTTGATTAAATACAGGCTTGGAGCAACGACAGAATAAAGTCTCCTAATCATAAAGTACTTTTGATGACTGGGAATGAAATAAGGTATTCTCTTGGTCTGTTTGCCTTCTGCAGAGGGATTTTACAAGTACCTGAAGAGCTAATTGATGAGGAACACCCTTTGCAATATAAGCCATTTGATCATCTTGCATTACTGAACCTCGCATACAGTGCTAATATTAAAGATTATTGTGGTGTGTGAAAAGTTTGCTTAGGTTTAAATTTTAAACAAGTTGTGTGATATATATCACATACTATTATATCTTTGGCAAGATCTTCTGTTTGTTCTGTCGCAAGATTTTAATTATGTGGGTGGTTACGTTTTCTAGATTTGGTTTGGATACTACGAGTGTATTTTTGTAAAATATAATGCTTAAAGGTTGTCATTGTGTACCTGTAGTTTTCTAAAATCGAATTTCACATGGTTGTTTTCTAATACAATTAAATTGAATATGGATTTTATTTACCAAAAAATAAATAAATAAATCAATTTGGATTTAGTATTATAATTCTTACACGATCAACACGGAATAGAGAACCTAGAAGAAAAAAGAGGGATAATCAAATAGAAAATTGAAATCGATACAAACAAGGTTTACCATATTCATTGAAATGAAGTAATTAATGCTTCTCCATATAATAAAAGCCCAACAAATATATATCTTATCAATTTAATTCATTAAAAATAAATTTTATCAATTCAGTCACTGAAACTTGAAATTCTAAATATTTTCATACATCAATATATTTAAGTTTAACAATATTAATTTTACAAGCTTATTTATCACGTTTAGAAGTGGACATGACATATGTAACTTACCAATTATGCAAAAATGATGATGTTTACCCAAAGTGAATATAAAAAAAAATTATAAAGATATTCTAAAATGGAATGGCATACACACAAATCCGAATTAAAATGTAAAATATGTAAAACAATATTGTTTTAGGTAGCTAGTTGAAAACTTGAGTTAATAACACTAAATTTAAATAAGCTGATAAATAAAAAAACTAGAGATTTCAGATTAAATGGCTAAAATAATAATATTTAAATTAATAAAAAATATATCTTTTTGGAACAAAAATAATGTTTCATTCTATCATAAAATTATGTTTTAGCATAATTTAAATAAATTTTTTTTCATCCCTCATCTTATATTAAACTTCAAAATAAAGATCCTGTATTTGTAGCGAAGTTGAGAATGCTACTATGGATCATGTGAGGCAATACTCTACGACGGAGGGCATGTCTATTGCTGAGACGAAATTTTCGTTCACATCAGACCTGTTTTTAATCGCGGAACAACGCTCATTGTTGGACGTTTTAGCGCTCAACTTTAACGGATGCTTAACCACTTTTAACTGTCCTGAGCGCTAAAACATTCGATTTGGGCGTTTTAGCGTTCATCACCAGAACCTTTTCGCACAGCAGGGCGCTAAAATGTTCAATTTGGACGTTTTAGCGCTCAGCACCAGCATCTTTTTGAACAGCAGGGCGCTAAAACTCTTGACCTTGGACGTTTTAGCGCCCAACACTTAGAATTTTTCCATTCTTCAGAATTTTCTTCCTTCTATCTTTTGCTTCATTGAGCTTCATTTTCCTACAAAAACAATGTAAATTTTCAACATAAGCTTCAGAACTTGTATTTGAGAGATTTCCAGGACATTAACCTCTTTTCCATCCATTTAATCACACAAATTGATATTAATTCATGCTTAAAAACCTGATGAACCAAGGGTTTATCACAATTCCCAAATTTGAACATTGATGTCCTCAGCAATGAATTAAAACAGAGAAGGACTTGGGATTCTTTACAGATGAATCATGAGGATCGACTTCAATTAACAAAAGATCAACATTTTATGATACAAGCTTATAACCATGCAATCTCTTATTTCCTATGATTTTCCCAACATCATTTGTGACTTTTCGACAGATCAGTAGAGATGATATACAGAGACTTCCAAACAACAACACCCCCTCACTAGGAACTTCTCAAAAATTGTGAGAATTTAACTCTCTTGCACTCTAGTGTTTAAGGATGCACTTATCACTCACTCCTCACTGCACTCGAACTACCATAAGCTTGCCCATCTCCTCACTTTCCATAGTAACAATAATCCATAGAGCATATCAAAAAAAAAAAAAATCTTTGTATGATTGGCAATATGGCTTGGTATGTAGCAAGACTAGAGGTAAGGATTTCTGTGAAATGGGAAGTTCAGATCAAATGAATCAGATTCAGATAAGAGGGAACTCGCAGTAATTAATCAATTTCTTCCTAATTCCCTCAACTTTCTTCCTTTTCATTCCTTGTTCTTTTCTTTGAACCTTTCTTCCTCCTTTTCTTCCTGACACTTTGTGTCTTTAACAAAAAAAAAAAATTTCTTTTTTTTTTCTTCTTTCAAACACTTTGTGTATTTAATACTTCCCTCTGTCTCTTCCAAAAACTTTGTGTTTCACAACCTTTTCTTTCTTTTCCTTCTTTCTTTCTTGTGTTTCCAACACCTTGCATTCACTTATTGCAAAAATATTTTCCTCCCCACAGAACACTCCATCCCTTATCACTTATATGAAACTTTTAATCTGAAGGATTGCAATAAATGTGGTTCTTGGCTTGATAGACAACAGGCTAAGCTCAAGGGTTTCAAAGTGCATGCTTGACTTTCTCTATATGCATCAAAACTAATCTCTCTACTCTTGAACATTGAATGAGTCATGCAATCATTTCATTTAAGCTCAACATGCAAGGTATAAGATTGTATCCTTAATTTGATCAATCATCTAAAACTTTGATCAGTCAAATCCTCATGGAATTCCATATCACAACTAAAATCCAAATTCTGTATTATAGCTAAAATCTAAATCACACGAGAAAACTTAGAAAATAAAAAGATTGAGATGTTTCCTTGTTTTGGCTCATCAATTTGTGTGACATCTCCATAAAGTTTGCATGCCATTCAATCATACCTCAATTCCCAGATTTAAACGTTGTTGTCCCCAGCAACAAATTTAAATTGAAAACAACAATTGATAACTGAAACACATTCATATATAAACCAATAGCATCAGTACTATCGTAATGTGCATCATGCAAAAACTGTGAATTTCCCAATTTACTTAACTGAATTACAAAAGGAAACTAACAACAAAATAAAACTAAAAGAAACTAAAAAAATGAAAATAGCAGAAACTAATGCAGAGACATGTGAGAGTGTGTGAAACATATGAGATAACCGAAAATCATATAAGTGGACCAGCGCTAAAACGTTGAAGTCAAGCGTTTTAGCGCTGGTCTCCAGAGACATGTGCACAATGATGTGTGTCGCATCGCGCTAAAACGGTCACGTCTGAACGTTTTAGCGTTCTGGACCAGAAAGAACAAAACTTCACAAATACATATAAATTGCTGAAAAATAAAAATTCAATCTCAAATATTAATGGTGTGTGTCAATGTTGAAGAAACAAATCCCCGACAACGGCGCCAAAAACTTGTTGTGAAATTTAGCAAGTACACTAGTCAAACAAGTAATAAAATGATCAGTAAAGATCGTTCCCACGAGGATTTGTGTTCAAGCACTGACTAACCATATATACTTAAGTTGAATCAACCAAAAGATTATTAATTGTATTGATTTCTTGTCACCAGAAATTAAACTGAATTGAATTAAAACTTGATAAACAAATAAAATATGATTATAATTTAAACAAGTAGTCAGATGTCAATTTCCCTCAAGCATGAATTTATGGATGAACCAATTCCCATAATGAATTATCTACTATGTGATGTTGATCAACCTTTTTCTTATCATCTCAAGATGTAATGTCTTACTACCCTGATAGATACATTAATCAGAAACTCCAATGTCTTGGTGATTCCTTTCTTAATACATGCATTAATCACTAAGGTCTTAAGACCACATCAGAATCCTAGCATCAATGTCTTGACTACTAGAACACTAATGATGAAGTTATCAAAAATAGAGAAATAATGTAAACATGTCCGTTCTACACTATTTATCAACATGAAGAATTAATCAAGACAACTTCATACAATCACATAATAGATAAACAAAACATCTAATTAACCATTCATAAATTCAAACTTGAGTTCAATTGAATAAGACTACAAAGGACTCTACTCAGACATAATTGAAATACAAACAAAGGAAGAAGAAAGATCAAACTCCATTGTCATGATAGTTGAGTCTTCAATCTTGAAGTACAATTACATAAAGAAGTACTAACTATTACATAAACTAATCCTAAGGAATTTGGAAATTCAGAGAGAATAAGGAGTCAGATCAGATCTATGAAAGATCTGATCTGATCTCCCATCTCCAAGTGTGATGTGCCAGGTCAGATTAGAATCTGAGAGAATGAGATATGATAGGATATGAAGGCTTTTGCCTTTTATAGAGTTATAAAATACAACTGAAAAACAACCAAAAACTGACTTGGGCGCTAAAACGTTCATTGTTGGACGTTTTAGCGCTCAACTTTAATGGATGCTTAACAACTTTTAATTGTCCTGAGCGCTAAAACATTCGATTTGAGCGTTTTAGCGTTCATCACCATAACCTTTTCGCACAGCAGGGCGCTAAAATGTTCGATTTGGGCGTTTTAGCGCTCAGCACCAGCATCTTTTTGAACAGCAGGACGCTATAACTCTTGACTTTGGGCGTTTTAGCGCCCAACACTTAGAATTTTCCCATTCTTCAGAATTTTCTTCCTTCTCTCTTTTGCTTCATTGAGCTTCATTTTCCTACAAAAACAATGTAAATTTTCAACATAAGCTTCAGAACTTGTATTTGAGAGATTTCCAGGACATTAACCTCTTTTCCATCCATTTAATCACACAAATTGATATTAATTCATGCTTAAAAACCTGATGAACCAAGGGTTTATCACAATTCCCAAATTTGAACATTGATGTCCTCAACAATGAATTAAAACAAAGAAGGACTTGAGATTCTTTACAGATGAATCATGAGGATGGACTTCAATTAACAAAAGATCAACATTTTATGATACAAGCTTATAACCATGCAATCTCTTATTTCCTATGACTTGCCCAACATCATTTGTGACTTTTCCACAGATTAGTAGAGATGATATACAGAGACTTCCAAACAACAACACCCCCTCACTAGGAACTTCTCAAAAATTGTGAGAATTTAACTCTCTTGCACTCTAGTGTTTAAGGATGCACTTATCATTCACTCCTCACTGCACTCGAACTACCATAAGCTTGCCCATCTCCTCACTTTCCATAGTAACAATAATCCATAGGGCATATCAAAAAAAAAAAAATCTTTGTATGA